CTATCGAGTATACTCTGTCGCAAAAGTGTGCTCTCCCTTCGACTCCCCTTTCGCATCACTCGATCATCCCTTCGCTCTTTCCTCCCTGGCGGCTTTGACGTTAATGGTCCATCGATCGGGCGGGACAGGTGCGTGGTGGTAGTAAAAATAATCTTGCAGCATACTTATATATACAAAAACTGTCGATCCTCTGCTCGAAATTCATTTTAAGATTAATTCTCGCGTATAAAAAGTTTATCTCTTGTTTACGACTATCCTCCTTTTTTTCATTGAGTTTCCTCTTAAAAAGAAATATTAAATGCCAATATGATAGAGATGCAGTTTCGACACACTGTTTTATACTAGATATCCATTTTGTTTTAAATAATAAAATTTTGCCGGAAATAAACGTAATTTTAGAGCACACCGTCGCACTTTAAATTCATTGCTAATGAAGAACTTTTTTAGTTTTAACGCGGATTAGTATTTCGCGAAGATATACTAATTTTTCCCGTTGATATTAAACTGCTTTTATTACGTATTCATAAAATGCAGTTTTTAACGCAAGAAATATTCATTTAATTAAAAGATGTCAAGAATTAATATTAATAATTGCGTGCACCTTCGAATAATTAATTAAAATTCTCTATTTGGATATAATAAACGCTTTAAAATTTTTTAAGAGTACGATTCATAAGGTTCATAATTTTTTGCTCAAAGACTCCGTTGATCATAAAATTAAGTTTTCCGCTGTAATGAAATTATTTGGATCAACGAGATGACATGGCGCGGACGCGAAATGGGTCGCTTTACACACGCTTCATCTATAATTTATTTGGTAAATACTGTGCTTTAAATTAGAAATAATAAAAGAAATTTATTACTTTGTTACACAGTGTAAGAGATCCGAAGATTTATAGAACTTTAGACATATTAATACGATATCTATTGATTTTATTGCGTCGTATATTCTCATTCAAGTTACATTTGTCTCTCTCATGACCTAAAATCGAACAAATTTTTTCTTTTTATTTTATCTGTAGAATAAATCTTTTCTTATCTGTATAGCTCCATTTTTGAAAATGTATAGAATCATATTTTATACGCACTCGTGTTTTTATTCTTTTATAGATAATTAGTTTTGATTAGTTTGATAGGAAGAAAGAGAAAAAGAGGTTTCTCTATATCAGAAAGTATCAACCGAAGCATCAGTCTGAATTATAAGCGATTGAAAATAGAAGACCTGTAAATTAAGTTTCAACAGTAGATAAGCGAGATCTCATTATCTGCTTGACTTCGTACAAACTTTAATTAAAAAAAAGTTTAATATTATAAACTTTTGTCTATCGAAATTTAATATTTAAACATTGTGCGAAGAACAATAACTTTTCGTTTTTGCTAGATGAGAGAAGAAATATTGATTGCGGATGTGTACGTGCCGTTCGCGGAATATCCTAGACAAAAAGGAAATACGGTAGTATAGATCCGGTATAGTGTAGCCTTTAAAGCGTGATTACAGCACGAGTAAACACTGTGTGTATCGCAACACGCCTGGTGTCCTCGTTGGCACTCGGCTTTCATGTTATCTGACGTGAGAGTGCAAGTGGAGAATAAGTGTTTGTCGACATACCGCGCTCTTGGCCGAGTGTGTGCATGCCCATTAGATTTCATCAACTCTCTCTTCCTCACGACTTTTTCAAAGTTGACGAAATACTGAAACCGACCGTGAACACGCGTGAAAGCTTTGTCTGCTTCGTCGCGTTTGATCGGAAAACATCCTGTATGTGCTACATATTGAAAGCACTGCAGGACACTGCAAATCCAAATGAATAAAAAATAACTATTCAATATATGTGTGTGATTAGTGTTTTGTGTAAAAATAACATACTGCATACAAATATAGAGTTATACATTTAAATGTGTGGTATAGTGTCGTTTTTATATACGAAAACTAAATAACACATATATATTGAAATTATTTTTTACTTGAATTTACAGTATCCTTTTTTTTTATATACACACATGGAAAAGTTTAAATTCTGATTTTGTCAATATATCTTTCAAAGTACATATGTTACATCCTATTGCTAATAATAGTTGATCAATCTGGTGAGCTGTCATTAGCTTTCAATGTCACGACAGCACGACATTCAGTTTCCATAGCGATTTGTCAGGTAACATTCAATGTCGTGATGCAATGTCACGCGAAAATGAGCTTGGCGAGCTCATGCAATAGTTCATAGTACGATCAGTCCCGTTGACACGCGAAACTAATGTGATTTTATTTTTAGACACGTGGTTATATTTGGAGTAATGGTATCTAAAAAGAGCAATACACTTACGCGGTTAAAAAGGTGAAAAATGTTATCCAATTTTCGATATTTGCTTAATAAAAATGTTCATATTGGCTTGATAACATAATTCAAATGCAGATGAGATTTTAAAATTAAAATTAATCCATCTCAACGATTGCGTGCATATTAAAAAGATTTTATGTAAAACAATGTGTGTTGAACTATGTTATACATCAAAGGAAAATTTTTTTAGATTTGTTAAATACAATAGCTGAATCTCTCACTCGATGTGATTGTTGTACTCACACTTACTGTGAGTTATCCGAAGTATAACTTATTATCTCGTCACATGTCCTGAAATCTTTGATATAATTTGCTCTTGGCAATATATACACAGTTTCTGTGAACTATACATTAATTACAGATTTGTATGCACGTGTGTATTAGTTTAATTATATATGCATTAAGCGAATTGCTGTTCTTTTTAAACGACTTTCGTGAATTTTTTTGTACCATCGTCTCTTGATTTTATTTCTCATTCGTTATAAAAATGGAATTCAAGCACACGTTGGTTTCAATGCGAAATTACAGTATAAAACTAGAGGATAAAATATGAGAATCTAAAATAAACGGCCAATAATATAATGTTACATTAAAATTAAATTACATCTGATTTAAACGAGAGAATCTTTTATTGTATATTATGAAATAATTAAAATTTGTATTTTGACGCTATTTGATCTACGTATAAAACGATATATATGAATCAATATATATTGGAATAATATTTCAATTTATAGAAAGAGATGAATTGAAATGGCTTCTCTATATCACATGTTCGCAATAATAAAAATAAAAAAATGAAATTGTATTAACGGGGCGTCAAAAATTGATCGTTATGATCATGTTTATTTCTATGAGTATTAATCACATTTTAACATACATATTAGCGTAAACATATTCCAAAATTTTAATTACAATTAAAATAAGCAACTTTCTTTTCCTCTATATATTAGATATGGGAAAAAGTTCGTGGCGTTTTTCCCGTTACATCTAACGGAAAAAACGCCACGAATTTTTTCCCATACTTTATATATATATATATATATGCGCATAAATGTATGTTACGAAACCAAACAAGTATTAGTTACATTGAACCATAAAGTAAATTTAGAGGAAAATTGTTCTGTTAATACAGGGCGCAAAGTGGGACAGCGACGTATTGTGTAGCAGATGAATATTCTGCATATGGCTAATTCGTACACGTTTCTGCGGATGATCGAGTGCTACTCATATAATAATTCGTGATTGCTTCATTGCGCCTTTTGTTGTGTTCGACCGTTTTCATCTGATGAAAGTCGTGTTTGATTGACGAGAAAAAAATAGGATTTTCATCGGTCTAGTATGACTTTTCATTTTGTGTATTATGTACAATACATCTCTCTATCCTTTATCACTAACTGGTTTATTATTAATTTAAATTTATTTTTTTTTAAATTTTAAATATTTGATTCATTTGATATTTTATTTGTATTTTTTTTTAATATGAAGTTAGAATATTTATTAAAAAGAAAGACACGAGATTTCAAGCGTAATTAAGGATTATTCAATTGAATAATATCCCAATTTAATAAAGGGAGAAGTACCTATTCATTGTACACGTTTATAATTATTTAACTTAAAACGGTACTTACCACTACCACCGAGTAGAGAATCTTCGCTTTCAAATCACAAGCGTCCTTAAGGGGTTCTAATGCATCTAGAGCATCCAGGGTATGCAAGTTGGCCTGAGCATAGAGAGTGCCGTATCTCTCGGCGAGTTGTTCCACTGTGATATTGGCTGAGGTTAAATCTGAACAATTTTCTTCTGCGTTGAGTGCCTCGCAATTGATACCCGTTACAACTGGCTCCGGAGTCGGGCTGCAACTCTCATCCGTGTGATAGCCAGCGCTACTGGACTCTTCCTCGTAGTCGTCACCGAGATTTTCGTCTAGATAGAGAATCTGTATGGGATAGCTCGTGATGTAGAGACATATAATGTACTTGGTTATAAAACATCTTATTTTCTTCTGACAGTTTTGCATATTTTTACATTTTGTCCTTGAATATATTTCTGAGGATTTGATGAGGATAAACAATATTTCTATTAAATGGATTTTTTAGAACATTTCTTTTTATTTAAACATACACGAAAAGAAAAATTTTATTGAAGCTTTTAAAAATTTAGCTAGGTACAAGTTTAAAAATAATTTTGTTGAACAAAGTAATCATGTAGAATGCTCAAACTGATTGCCAGAATGTCAAAAGTTTTTGCAGCATTGCTCTTCATGCTCATTAAGTTTCCTACATAATTTATTTTCATGGTCCAACAAAATTATTTTTAGATTTATATTTAGTTAAATTTTTAGATTTTCATATTTATTTAAAATTGTAATTCCCGTGTAATTGCGATTTTTTTTAGTTTTGTTCTCATTTTGTACAAGTAACTCGTAATTAAAAATTTAAATAATATTTTTTCATTGTGTACTTACATCATTGTGTACTTAAACAGTGTCTCTGTGTGCAAAAAAGTAGGGAATTGAAAATTGGCGAATAGGCTGAGATAATCGCGAGAGAGAATGTTGAAATTCATATAATGTTTAAATTTTGCTTACAAATGAGATGAATACTATTTAATATTACTTCGACATTTCAATTTTTTATTATATTTTAAATTTATAAGAAACATATTGAAAAAGATAATTTTTTTTTCATGAAAGTAATAATTATTATCTATTATGAAATATTATCACTACGTAAAAGCAATTGGGTGGATGTTGCGTACTATAAACTAGTAAACAATCACAATATTCACCGTTCGATCCACTCGTTTTTCGATTGGGATTTGCAATTGATTATGAACTTCCAATTAAAATGCACTCAATGAAAAGCAATTAACGCGTTTTGGCATGCTGTGACCAGTTTCCCAATTCGATTCTGTTATACAATGATCTGGGTGCTACTTTTACCTTTTTTACAATTCACCCCGTCATCACCTTTTGCAAATGAAAGTAAATAAGATAATTATTCGCGTATTTTCATTTTCGAATGAAATTTAACGAGAGTAATGCAATCATGAAAGTACTGTCGTACGCATTCATTATCGAGAATTCGTTTAAGCATCTGATGATAACAGGATTCGCCGCATTTTCAACCGAATTCTCGTTAAATTTCGTAATAAGAACGTTGTACGTTTGCTGAAAATATTTTAGACGCCGTTGTGTTAAATATCGTCATTCAACATGATTTTATTTTCATCAAAGCGTCACTTTTTCTTTTTCTATCTCGTTCAAAAAGGGGAAATAATATATAAATTAATTTAAAATAATATATAAACTTAATATAAATTTCTCCAGTTGTATTGTCCGGCGAAATAGAAATTGCTATTCTCTTCACAAATTAACGTGTTATACGTGTCACGTGATGTAAATTGTACATTTCGACACGATCGCGACTGGTGTTTTCGCATTTTTCTAAAATATTGCTGAAAACCCGAGGGTATCAGCCAGCGACGCGGATTCAATTTTCAATCTTTATTGCGCTGCGAAACTCCACAGCAACTGCAGACGCGGCAGTCGCACGCGTAAAATATTTATCACGTATGCGTCGTAGTTCCCAACGACGATAATTTATGACTTGGCATTAATATACGCAATATTAACGTATTAACGCTTCGCGTGCATTAATATCTCGCGCACGCGCGCGCTCGAAAACACTTCTCTCATAAATATTATATATTGACTTTACGGTAAATTCGACGGGATAATATTATTCAAAACTTCGTTCTCGATAGAAAATTATGAAAAAAACATGTTTCAATTAAATTTGCAATAAATTTTATTGCCTAGGTAAACTCGCTTTTTTCGCTTGATTAAAAAGTAACTGCTATTTGATTCGCGTTATCGACAGCACGTATTCCGCGACGTATTATTAACGAACCGCATGTACAAGCGCATGTGTAGGCTATTTAATATTCCGTACAATGATATTTTATTCCGACTCAAGTTTCAGAACGCCCATGTTTCAATTAAATACGTGTTACATGCTTATATCCATTGATAGAAATAATTTATGTCCGCGCGTAATTCTCGCATTTTCTGCTCGCAAGTATAAACAGATTTCACGTTGTTCTATTTAGGTTATCAACCCTCGTTTATTTAATTCACGTTTACTTATCAATTTGCAATTTATTCGGGGTATTAATATTGAATTGCTTGCATCGTTTATGCGTTACTGTCACCTTATATCCTTTTCTATCAATGTAAATTAACTTTAATCCGGTTTAACTTACTTTTTATTTTTTTCTGATTCTTATATGAATCCTAATTACAACTGTCTGAAATTGATTCGATTCTTCTTGAAATATGTTGTTAAACACAAAAATTTAAGACACGCATTTTTATATTGCTTAATTTAAAAAATATTAAATTTTTGAAAAATTTAAATACACAGTTATCAAATATATAAAAAGCCATAAAAGTTTTGTCTAAAACTTTTTTATGCACCTCACCGTTTTGTTGCGAATTGATTTGAATTAAATATAAGCGTTAATTTTGAGGGATTGTTTCACTCATCAAATTTCAAATTGGATTGATAGAAAAAAATACGAAATATTTAAAATCGTATTTCCTAAGATCCGTTTAGATCGAATAATTTCTCTTAATTGGATTTATTCTTATTGGTCTAAATTCATATTATAAAAAATGTGTTACTTAGTTTTTCGTGTTTAACATTGTATATTCCAAGGAGAATCGAATCAGTTTCGGACAGTTGTAATGGGTCCCTTGTTAAAACTAGAATAAAATAAAAAGTAAGTTATACCAAGTTTAACTAAGATTAATCTGCGTCTGTAGAAATAGACATTAGCCGAGAGAATAGTTAAATGTAAGCAGGAACAGGAATAAACTCAGGTAATTTAGGTTCGCCGTAGGGTCCTTATGGGACTCCACACAGCGCCTTTGACATTGTCTACGTGGATTGTCTTGGACGCGTCAGCTGCTGGAGTGCAAGCAACGATTCCCGCGGGAATCGTATCACTTGCATGTGTTGTGTATCGTGTGTTTCGGGGTCATTTTCTCGCGCTTGACAGCGCAGATTTTTCACCATTCTTATTGTTGCGGCTGACTATACGCGAATTTCTTACGGAGTCCTCCTTCTCCTCCCCCCTCCAAACAAAATCGTGATCGCATACAATGACGCGCCTATTGTTCTAATAGTTCGCCATTTCTGTGCCAAACCGTTTCACACTTTTTTACGGTCGTGCGAATTGTTTCATGGGTAGATAACAATAATCAGCGACAATTCTCTTGGGATACGAGGCATTATTTCTTTATCCAAGATCGAATTTCTCCTATAAATATCATTTCAGTGTTCAAGTTGAATTTAAAAACTAACAACTTTAGTTTTCTTTTTTGCAAAAATGTAAGAGGAAAAAAAGGGCGCATCTTTGAAGATTAAATTTCAGGAACATCCGAGGGAAAAACATTTCCTGATGGAAATGTTTCAGTCTTACCTGTAGTTTATCTTCGTTCATGAACTGCAGCGCGAGTGCGCAACCTCTCGAAAACTGCAACAATCTGGCAGCGAGAGCCGGATTTTTCATGTTCGTCGATCCGGAGGTCGATTTCCTCAAGGCCGTCCATTCCCGGAGCGCCTCCTTATCCTGCTCGACCCGGCGTTTCAACTCCGCTAGTAAATTCTCTAAGCTACACGGTCCGCCCGCTTTCTCCAAGGTGTTCAGCAAGCTCTGATTATCGATCAGGCGTTGCTGGATCTCGCTGTACTTCAGGGAAAGCTGCCGTTGATGCGAAGCCGCTTGTACACCTTGATCCGCTATAGAAGCGTAAGAAAAGATCAGAGCTTCTCTCTCTCTCTTTCTCTCTTCGAGGTCGTTATTATTATTTTTTATTATTAGAGCGGAACCGATGATGGCGCGAGATGATTATTACTACATTCACCATCGCCTTTTTACGGTGCCTCGGGGCTACATAGATAGCCGGCCCGATATCCGGTACATGAACAGCAAAATCGCGGAGTATCTATCTGACATCATAACTAAATATGCCACACTTTCCTTTATATAATGAGGCGAGATTAAATTATGCGGCATATCCGCACTCTCGCGCACGAGGCACAAATTGCTACAGGTTCATGCTCCAATAAATTGCAGTTCGGCCGACGGTCTGTTCTCATTATATTATAATCATATGGACCATACTTTTTTAATAAAATTGATAAAACCAATAAAATAATATCGATAAGATTGATGAAATAATTTCTAATATTTTATAGTAAAAGAGAGATATTAATTTCATTGGACATGATTAAGTTGTTACTAAAATCAAATAAGTGAGCAAATAACTTATACATGTATATATATGAAGGCAGATAGAGATTGTCTATTATTAATATGAAATTAGATACTACTAGTGAGATTAAATGCAGATTTTAATATCAAAATAGTTTTCTCACGGTAATTGAAAGATAATGATAATGATTAAAGATGAGAATCAATCAATTGGAAAATTATATGTTTAAAGTACACAATAAACAATATTTCGTATTTGTTTTGGAAATTCCAAGTCCTTGTTAAATTTTGTGTCTATTAATAATAGACAATCTCTAATGCCTTCATATATATACATGTATAAATTATTTGCTTCACTTATTTGATTTTAGTAACAACTTAATCATGTCCAATGAAATTAATATCTCTCTTTTACTATAAAATATTAGAAATTATTTCATCAATCTTATCGATATTATTTTATTTTTTAACATTTTTTAACAATTTTTTTATTCGAGTGTTAATTAATTTATTATAATGTGATTATATTAAATTAATTTAAATAATTTATGTTAAATTGATATTCAATATTTTTAGTTAGTTAATTTATAATCATCAATAATACAATTTATGAATAAGTAAACAAATAAAAATAATGTGTTTTAAAACGTAAATCGTAAGTGAATGAATAAAATATGTTAATTTACATATTATAAATATTAATTTTAACTGAAAAAAATGTGTTTCCACTATTTGTTTACATTTGTACTGTACGATTTGAAACTGTCATTATTACTTTTTATCTTTTTAAATATTTGTTATCTTTTAACATATTCATCTTGTGTTGAATTAACACATAAATTTGAGTGGACCGTTTGAGACACATGAAATGTGCTAAATTTAACATAAATTTTTTAACGATGTATGATTTAAAAGAATAATCAACATTTATTAATTATATTTTAATTAACTATTTTAAAAAATAGTTGCTGATGTATTATTTTTAAGGAATGATATCGTAAATATATTTCCCCACATATTTGTCAATATTATCTTTCTACGCATACTTTTTTCATTTTTAACATCTTTCTCTGCGAATGTTATACCAATCATGACATGTCTTGAATTGCGTCGTGGAAATCTATCGATAAACGAGAGAACGGTGCAGTTCTCTGTATAAATAATTTAATGCTCTCGACATTAGTCCATTTGCATTTGTGAATGTATAACGCGGTGCTCCGTTAAAATCCAATGCTTCACGGTTCCACGGAACTCTGGATATACAGGCGGTACGAATAGTCGTACAACTTTATTTCGATGGAATTAGCGGTGCACGCTAATCTCATTGCACAGCTGACGATAATTATGCCCTTCAGTGTGTAATCATCATAATGCCAAATCTCGTATGGAAATCCTAGCGAATTTATGGAAAAAATAGTGTATAATCGTAAAATATTGCTTCTCGCTAATCTAATATTACGCTGCCAATGGTAATTATCATTCATTTGTCAAATAATTAAATACGTAATTGAAGGATAGATGGATATCATTTATCTTTGTCGCGATTGATTAACACACTGCTTTTTGCATATGAAATTGAAATATTGAAATTTGATTTATGACTATGATTGTTTACACCACTGATTATTCATACCACTGTAAAATTTACGTAACATTATCATTTTGATTTAAAGCTTTTAACAGATAATCTGAATATTTATGAGTTTAAAATATTTAATATTATAAAATTATAGAAGCATTTTTGTTATTTTATTATTCGTTATTAACGCGCGATAGTCGTCTAAGTGAATAAAGTGATCATACAACACGATCTTTATTAACAACAATTTGAAGTACCTACCTTTATTAGTTCCAGCGTGTTTGCCAAAGTTTTCAATCTTGTGTAACGCTAATTTGTATGCTTCCGTTCGCGTCTCGAGCTCTTCTCTCAATGCCACCGGCAATGGTACTAAATTTGGCGTAACGGAGTTCTCAGAGATGTTTGTTTGCGAGGAAGGCACTAATCCATGTTTGCCAAGTCCTTCTACAGCTCTGTCTAGAGCACGTCTTCTCGATAGCAGCGTACTCTTCGTATTGGGCGATAATCTGTTCAATGACACGAGAAGTTTACACCAGATTCGCGGTCGGAAGTGATCTTGACTGGATATCAGGTGCACCACCCTCCAGAGGACTTGCTCGATCCGCAAGATCTTCATGTCGCTGATGTTTAGTTCTAACAATCGGGAGTAAAGCGCTTCCAGCAAGGTGAGGCTGTGTGGTAGCGTTTCGATCAACAGGTCCACTGGAATATCCGGCAATGCAGCCTTTAAGGTGTAATGTGGCAGCTTCATCAGAAAGCCAGCGGCTTCCCTATATTGTCTGCCCTCATACAATCTCAGTAATCTGAAAGAAAGGACGTTATTATCATGTTATCTTGTTTATGGTAGCATGTCGATAAAATTTCATTAACGTTGTAGACAGCATCAGGAAAATAAAATGAATTAAGCGTTAACTATGGAAACATGAACTAATTAATCTCTGTTTACTAACTAGATGTATGAAAGTAAAATTCATGACAACGAATATTACGCGATAATTGATGTAAAATATAATGCACAACATTTATAGCAACGGAAGTTTTTATACTTCAAGGATTATATTTTTATTACGTTTTTTAACGCTAAACTTTTTTTTATTATTTTATGCCATGTTTTGAAGAAATGCTTTTTATACTATGGATAAACAATTAATAGAATTAAGCAAATGCATAATCGCATCAAGTGTGATAAAAGTATAGATAAAAAATTATTTCTTATATAAAATGTGATTAATTGTTTTATAAATTCATTCTTTTTGAAAGTACAATTTATAATTATATGACGTGGATAATATTATTAAATAATATATAATTGTTGGATGTATAAAGATAGAATTGTGGATTATGTGAATTTGCGTAGATTGTGAAAATATTGATATCGATATATACGCTAATAATTCACTCATGATTGTAGTTTAGATTTATAATTGTTGGTGATATTTACGTAATTTATCTTTAATCAGAAATATATACAAATAATGATTAATCTTACATGCGATTAATGTTCTATTGTGTATCTGATATTTTATTTTATTATAAACTGTAACGGAATATAATTGGAAAGAGGGACTAAATAAAATTATATCCTGTTCTATAATCCGATTACACGATTGAATAAACTAAAATTTGTTAATTTAATCTCGAAATAAAAGCATAAGTACTCCATGTATTTAATCGAAATTAAAGTTACAGCAATTGTTATTTTAAATATTAATGCACATTTTAAAATCTTATATAAAAGATAGATTATTCTAAAACACTTGATGCAGTTGATCGAATGCACTGGAAACAAGCTTATTTTTATTGGATTTTATTTGAAACAAAAGTTTGTAACATTGAACTTTAAAATTTAAGCAGCTACAGCTGTTAGCTTCGTTAAACATGAATGAAATTTAAATTTAGAAAATAGTTTTAAAACCAAAAATCTCATTAATTATGCAGTATAAGGGATATCCTGCAATGACCTTGACCTTGACATATGTTGTCAAGATGAGTAATTTTGGACGAATTTTAGCCATCGCTCGATGTTCTTTAAAAAGTTATTAACAAAAAAAGTACCTTTCAGTGCAACAACTAATAATTAAGAGATCCGCCTGAAGAGTTGGGACCCAGGAACACTGGGGATGATGCACGAAGGACGACGAGAAAAATACACACTTGATCATTTTTCACAAATTTATTAAAAATAGTTCCCCTTTTTAATTATACCTGTTTAATTAATGTGTCAGGTTTAATGTGAACAATACTATTTGAACTTTGCGTTAGCACTTGTGATTACTCATATCTTGTATTGCTTATATCTTGTTCGCGCTCGTGTGATAATACTTAAAGCGATTGATAGTGTGAATACATTTAATATTCGAATAAATGAATAAAAAATGAAAAATATTCATTCGAATACACTTTTTTTTTATTCATCAAGAAACGAATAAATATTTTTTCATTCCATTTGAATGAATATTTTTTGAATATGATTATGAATATTTTCGTTTCGTATTCACTTTTATTCTGTATTATCTGCACATTATAGCTTGCAAGTCTACAAGAGAAAACAGAAATCTATAAAAACTATGGCTACGATTACACCGCGCGCTTAGTCCGCCACCTATACAATAGGGCGTATGTTTAATTAATAATAAAATCTTTGTTTCATTTATAGGTTAAACAAAGATATTTTTATTGGAAATAATATATCTCGGAATTTAATATCTACAGACCATAATGAACGACGCGCCCAAGATATCTTATAACATGTTTATGACATTACTGTGACATAACCGGAATTATATCGGAATATGTATAGCGTTCTATCGAATAGATATTTATAAATTAAAAATGTATTACTTTCTAAAATATTTTTCTAAATTTCTAAGTTTCTTTCCATAAAATTTGAATATTACAATGACAAAAATAAATAAAATTCATTTTTTTTACTTAAAATCATTAGAGCCGGTTATAGTTAAGAGTAACGATTGTTTAGCTTTTTTTTTTAGATTATTTTATTTAAATGAATATGAATACTCGTTAAATATTCATAGTTTTTTTAGTAAATAAATATTTTTTTTAAATCTAAAATTTTGAATGAATATATGATTACACTTTTTTTTATGTGAAAATTTTGAATAAATATAATTTGGAGCTCAATTGAGTTTCTGTGAGTTTGATAATTTTTATATATGTATATAGAAAACGAGTTGGACAAAATGAAAAATTTTTTCTTACTTTATCACATGTTCAAAAATTTTTGATTTTCTGACGTGAAAGCTTTCCTTACAAAATCATTTTTCAAAAATATTCCTAAAACTTATTACTTTTTATATACGGATTAAATAAAAAAAATCATTTGACTTTGATTGTTCGTAACTCTGTTAAAAATCATCGAATCGCAATTTAAAAACAAATTTTTAAAGCTAAAAGCTTTACTTTATTGAATGATATAATTGCCAAACTTATTTTTAAAAACATATAAACGTAATATAAATAAAGTAGTGAATGTTTGTTCCAATCCAACAGACGAAAGTAGATAAAATTTTAATCATCTAATCATGATTAAACATTGTAATACATATTCCATTGAATACACATTCTATTGTGCGATATACACGTGATTATGGATTAATGAACCGTATTAAGGCTGTCAGTGCTAATTACTTAGTCCGCTAATCTTGTATAAGGAAGGGATCAATGTAACGGCGAATTATTGTTATAAAGAAGTTGCATCGAGGACGCATTTAATTTATTTCGCCTCGCAAATAAATAGTTCCTGGTGATTTATTATCATGTAAATTACCTGTTAGGAAACGGCGTTAAACGGATTTATTGCGCGGTTCCGCGCGAATTTACGTCTCTATTTCTGTTATTGTACACAAATAATTCGCGTTGCTTTTTGTACATGATTTCTATGCCTGCTATTATTGATCGATCACCTTTATGTAATTGATTGTCACAGCGATTTCTCTCTTGATGCTCCATTAGTGCACGATGCACATAGCGAGATTAAATAAACCTATTACACGTCACGCGGCTGTCTGTCTGACGGATATGGCAATAATTAGCTCTGATTCTTGGTTTGAGAGAGAAGCATACAATGCAATTCGATAACTGCTAGTTACACGCAAACAGCGAAGCGTCACGATCTCACGTCGACGTACGCGCTAATCAAAATGTAATTATAACCGTATTATTGCTTTATAGAATCCTTTGTTACGATTCTTCTCGCAAATATGATGCATAAAAACACTGTGCTTCCATAAACGCAGCGCACACTGCTTATTTATTCTTAATTAGCAGTTTCGGTATATTCATTACACAAGATGACATATTTAGAACTTAAGAACAGTACAAACGTAAAAATATACGTATTGCTTTGAAAGACGTAGGTATTCTTATTCAGGAGCTGTATAATTAAAACTAGTTCATTAGAAGCGAGAAAAAATTCTGCAATACAGCAACTCTCAAACTTTTTCTATTGCGAGTTTCTTTCGTATAAAATATTTTTATATAAACAAATTAAATTGTTTATATAATTTAAATTTTAATTCTGTTTACATGCTTATTTTCTATAAATTTTTTTTTAACGAATTTTGCTTTATTCTTAAAAGATCTTTGGAACATAAGAACATTGCGAACATAAAAATAGGAGTATCATATACTCGGAAATTTTTGCGAATAAGGAAATTTTCTGTAATAGCAATTTTATTTTTTTAATAAGTTCTAACCATCACAATGAATTTACAAGTGAATTTGTTGCACGATTCATTAACCAGAAGGCCTTTGTTTTTTAATGTTTATGCAGAATTTTGGTTTTTTTTCTGTTTTTGGTTCAATTTTTTTTATATATCAGCTTGTATAAATCTCTCTCGGATCGAAGTAAAAAAAAGAGAAAATTGTTCGTAATGAATTCTCCTACAAAACTATGTTTATGCACTTTAAGGTTTTATTACAAAACGTTTTTCGAAAATTGAAAGAAAAACATTGTTTTTTAAATTTTTTTGAAAAAATTTCCGATTTTTTTGATTTTTTTGAAAAAAAATTGTTCTTTAATATTTTAAATTTTAAGTATTTAAAATTTTTTGTTAATGTTTTTTTTCGTTAAATACATATTTTGACCGTACACAGGGCGTTTGAAGGGCATTAAGAGATTTTATAAATAATTTTTTCTTCAATTTTCGAAAAACTTTTTATGACGTCCTTAAAGTGTGCATAAAATTCCGGATATTTAAAAAAAAAGTTTGCTCTACGATCTTTTGCTCAAAACTGACAAGTAAATCAAAATTTTTATAACAATGCAATTTCTGGCGGATTGTTTCAAATTTTTTAACCAGCTTTGGTACATATTTTTGTGACTATAAAATTATATATTTTCTCTTTTCATTGTCATGAATATATATATATTTAAGCCCAAATTACAAAGGAAAAACCACAACTCATTAATAACGACGGTTTCTATTTTTTTTTTTGGAGTTTTTTTTGGGTTATGTATGATAGCTAAAATCATCTATGTTGGGTGGAACCCAACATAGTTTTATAAGGGAATTCATTATGAACAATTCCCTCTTTTTTTTACTTCGATCCGACTTATATACAAGCTGAGATATATAAAAAAAACTGAATTGAAAATAGAAAAAAACCAAAATTTTGCTTAAACATTAAAAAACAAAAGCCTTTCAGTTAATGAATCATGCAACAAACTCATCTGTAAACTCATTTTGATGAATCTATTAAAAAAAATAAAATTGTTATTACAGAAAATTTTTTTATTCGCGAAAATTTCCGGATATATAATTCCGCATTAGAAACACAAAACATTTCTCTAATATTGTAGCAAATCTCAAATTCTTCCTTTTATCGTGAATTATATAAACATTTTATATAAAATACATTTTTATATAAAAATGTTTTGAAATCTTACTACAGTACATGTTCATTTCCTACAAATTTTTTTCTAATGAATTTTTTAATTTTTAAAAAATTATCGCTTTTGTAAATAATAATATATGATTATGCTATTTACGTGTCAAAAAGGTTTGAAGATCACTGCTCCGACAGTAAGATTTAAAAAAAAAAGATCCAAGATTTAATAACTTCTATAAAATACGGTTCATATATACCTTCTCAACGCCATCCGTGGATTTGAGCCTTCATCCTCCGGGATGCCAATATGACCGACCTGGAACTGCGTTCCGGGACCCCATACCAGCCTCTGTATCGTATTTCTGGGTCGCTCCGGTCTGATCCTTTCGCAGGAATTGATGCCTGGAGGTGGTACACTTTGTTTGCTCATCTTTGTTATTTTATTTTCGTGAAACGCCTATTTCCCTTTGGTAAATACCGAATCCGTATTTATTTATTATGTTCGCGTAACGAGGATTAAAACCGCCACTCGAAAATCACCTTTACGACTTCGAGACACACCACTTTAAGACACCTTAAGTTGACTTTTCTTCTCCGCTTCGTAACTTTCACGGTCCTTTCTCTCTGTCCTCGATGCGATCTTTGACCTATCAGTCACGCATCTCCGCGAATCTTGTGGTCCCTTTCCCGTATATTTTCTCGTAAATTGATATTTCTTACGATGTAATCGAAGATAAATCTGTCGCAATGATATCTGTTGTCTATTTATTTGCGTATCCTTAGCTTTTATCAGTCAAATCGATTTCAAATGTGATGAGCGTTTTTTTAGGTAAAAGTTGTATGATTTTTGTAAATTTATTATTTATGTAATATTTCACGATTATATAGGTGACATCAATTAATTAATGATTTTGATTAAAGTTTCAATTTATTTTTTCTTTTTAAATTCATTCATTAAGAGAGTAAACTCTAAGATTATTTGTTTGCATTTGTTCGTGACAACAGATTCTTCGATCGCATGCTGCGTTGTCAATTTCTCTTAAGTAAATATATATAATTTCTCCTGCAATGCTATTCTCGTTGAATCAATATCTTCGTTTCTACGTTTCTACATTTCTTCGTTTCTACAATGTTGTTCCTTGATCATATATACTACTCGTTGAATTGATTAGCACGTGTTTAATTATTTTAACTTTTTTGTCTTTTAAATTAATCTCTAGGATTATCATATGTAAAATTTTTCTTTGATACATAAAAATATAGCATCTAAACAATTTTTTCTTTTTATTTTTCATAAGAGACATATAAATGAAATATCTTGGCTCGGTAGAATAGTTTGAAAATGAACTCTTTTTATGATGATTCTCATTAAAGCTATGCGAGTCGATTACTCTTGCTCGACTCCTCGTTTTTCTTTGCTTTGACTTCACTTTGTTCTTGACGAAGTTAGTCCCTTTCTTTCTCTCTCTTACGATTTTCCGCGCGTCTGGTCCAGCAAGAAGCTGCAGCCTCGAGGCAGACCGCTATCCAATTTTCTAACTGCTATTTTCTGCCACACGGACTTCTCTTTGCAGTTCTCCACTCAGAAACAGCCGACAAGAACATTTCCTGATTTGTAGACGCTTTTGTGTTCATCAAGTCTCTCATTTCTTCACTTGTTGAATCATGATCTCTCTTCGGTTATCGACATTATACCTTTAAACCGATCCCATTATCGTCACGCAATTATCTCCACGGCTCACTCATCGATCTTTAGAACGATCTCTCTTTTTCAATCCTTGTTTTTGATCATAAGGTGCCCGAGACTGGTTAATCTTTCGGCTTTCTTTTCTTCCCTCTAGCAAAATTCATTTCTCTCTCTCTCTCTCTCTCTCTCGCTCTCTCGCTCCCTCACTCCTTCTTCTCTTTCTTACGAATTTCCTTCCGCCTGGTCCTCGAGTCTTTAATATGAACTGGCCTACAGCCTCGGGGCTGACCGGCCCACTTCTGCGGGAGTCAAGCTGGATCTGCGAACGGAATTATTTATCATGAGCCGTGAGCCGTATCCTTATGATACGCTCGAACAAAATGTGCTTTTAAGTGACCGACGTAATGCAATTCACGTAAAATATATCTAAGAATCTGCATAAATTCACGATATATCTGTATTATTCTTGTAAAATAAGTAGAAATCTTGTTAAATAAAAATTTTACTATGATCGAAACTCGATTATAATAAACGCTATTATTATTTATACACGATGTTTTAGTATTTCCGAAAAACATTTAGTAATTGATATCTTGGTGAATTTTATGTAATGAACTATGCGATTTTTCCGAAACGAAAATTTTATCGTATATAAATTCGAAGATTGTTTAAATACTATTTAAATCCTGTTAAAGCAAATTTTGTAATTGAAAGTGATTAAAGTTAATTATAATATAAGAAAATTAAATTATCTTTCTGATGCAAAAATGTACATTGTCAAAGTCAATTTATAATTTTTTCTGTTATTTAATGTGAAATATATTTTTAATGGAGAAATAATTAAAATTTATATACACATGCGCTTATTTAGAAAAATTTTCTACAACGGAGAATACAGATTCAAGAACTAATGTTCAAAGATATCAATGTTACATGTCTCTGATTTCTCTAAAAGCGTATGGTGTATTGTGAAACAAAAAGAAAAATAGATACAAGTAAATAAAGTTACAAAAAATACAGTGAGAATCCAACTGTGACAGGTTTCTTGTATATTTTGTATATATACGCGGGTCCCGGCGGAATAAAATATTTGGTAGTAATGCGACACCCTATAGTGGCAGAAGTGGAAGGTCCATGCATGATGTATTGGATCTCGGAACTTTGGTGTATAATCTTGCTGGTGCATCAGAATGCCTAGCGAATTTCAATATACCTTTCTTGGAAATGTGTACCTTTTGTGATAAAGTTCGCAGATGAGAAAATTTTCATAAAATATCTTTAGAGAGAGAGAGAGAGAGAGAGAGAGAGAGAGAGAGAGAGAGAGAGAGAGAGAGAG